ATCTTTTGTATATTCGAAGAGTGCATCATTCATCGGTTTATGGTGCATCACTCATCGGTTTATGGAGCATCACTCAAAGGTTTATGGTGCACTACTCTGGCCATCGTTTTACAATAAAATATGGTCGAAGTTTTTAACAATGTTTAAATGACGAGCAGTAATTATAACAAGTAAATAAAGTGGGTGAAATTCTAGAAAAATTGTAGTGCTGCGTCTGTGAGGAGTATAGCTAGATTATTTGGCATAATCAGTTGATAAACTGATAACCGTAAAGAGTTTCAAATTTGGCGTTTGGGGCTCACGATTTAACCCAAAAAATAAAAAATAAACATTGCTTAATTTGTTATACTGGATATGCGTAACATTTCTAGTTTGTTGCGCTAGATTTGCGTTACATTTCCTATTTGTGGGTGTTTTTTTCACCTCAATTTGAACGTGATTTGTACTGTAAACGTCCGTATATTAGTAATTCAATTTCGTTCACCTTGTTAAATCCCTGATGAAGTCTGTGTGATCAGTGCGCTGCTCACTAGCTTTTATTAAAAAATAAAAAAATAAAAAAAAATAGCAGTGATTGGTAACTGGTGGTACGACATTGATACTGATAACATGCTTAATTGTCCACGTTCTAATTATTATTTCCTAACTCAGCTGAACAAACTCTTCGATAATACCACTTCAAAGTGTCTCTCTATGTTTCATTGTAATATCAGGAGTCTTCCAAAACATTTGTCTCTATTGCATGAGTTTTTACATTCTGTCAACCGCAAGCCTGATATCTTAGCTATTCATTACTAGAACGAGACTATCAAACCGGACAGGAAAAAATGTTGATATCCTAAATTATGATTTCTTCCACACCAACCCACTAAAACAGACTAGCGGTACTGGGCTATGTGTCTGGAAAAATCCTAATGTCATTCATGGACCTGATTAAAAGTTTACCATACCATTGGACGAATCATCCTGGTGAGAAATAAATTCTAGGAATGGCAAACCCAATATAATTGTCGGTTGATTTTTCCGCAATCCTACCTGTAATTTACCTGCTTTTACTTTTGAATTTCAAACTTTGCTTAAAGAGATAAGTCAGTACAAGATATACATTCTTGGGGATTTTAATGTAGGTCTCCTGGAATACAGTGAGCATTTATTATCTAAAGAGTACCTAAATATGCTCTATTCCAACAATCTACTACCTTTAATTACAAAACCAACGGGGCTCGCTCATCATAATTCTACTCTGACTGACCACATTCACGCAAATTCTAATTTGAGTGTGAATGCCGGCATTGCG